CATCAAGAAGACTTCATGTAGGACTCTTATTCTACCACTATAAATAGGGACCCTCCCTACACAATTCAAGACACAACTCAAGAAGAAGAAAAACCGTAGGAGAAAATTCTCTTTACAATATTCAAGTCGTTCTTCAACAAATTCAAGGCGTTCTTCATCAAATCGAGGGTTTTCTTCAACAAATCAATATCGAAGGAAGATTGAAGGGCCAAATCCATCAAGAAATCCAGGATCTTCAAGTCAAAACCCGATCGAAGGAAGATTGAAGGGCCAAATCCATTAAGAACTCCAAGACCTTAAAGTCAAAACCCGTCAAAGTTCAACAAATCAAGATCACTCCAAGATCTTCAAGTCAAAACCCGTCAAAGTTCAACAAATCAAGATCGAAGGAAGATTGAAGGACCAAATCCATCAAGAACTCCAAGATCTTCAAGTCAAAACCCGTCAAAGTTCAGCGTTCGATCAAGTCAACGACCCTACTCCGAAATTCAAAGTCAAACGCATATCGTTCTTGAGAGAAGAATCAGAGGATTAAATTAGAGTTTGTAACCCGCAATATTTTATTTTAATTCAATAAATTTTCTTTGTGCAAGTTTTTCTTGTTTGTCTAAATCGCAGATAAGAATTTGTTGCTACAGTATGCATACATACATATATATATATATATATATATATATATATATATATATATATATATATATATATATATATATATATATATATATATATATATTTATATATTTGTTTGAAGGACTTATATAAAATTTTCCAACCAAACTTCAAGGGGTAATTTTTTTTTTTCAAGAATCTCCATCAATTCTACCTTAAATGTATTGGCTAAAAGAAAGAACACCTTTTCTCCGAAGCTCAAATCAAGGTTCTAAGGATAATTTCGATAAAAAAGTCAGCTTGAAAGGCTCAATCGGTTCAAAGAAGGCCTAAATCATATCCCAAATCACTCACTACTCAATACTTCGTATCATAAGTTTCTGTTGGGTTTCGGGCACGTGTACGCAGCGGAAAACAAAAATTTACGTGATTTAAACGACTTTAAAGCACACAATTACATGCCCGAAGAATTAAATCAATTAATTGCGTACCTTTGCGCTTCCAGCGAAATTAAAAACAACATACATGCTAATAAATTTAACCGAATTTAAATCAATTAACATGCTCGCAATTTAAACCAAATAACATGCTCGCAACGATTTAATCGATTACACATAATCACCTAAAATCATACAAACACAAGCATGAAATCATAGTTTAAATTAAACCCTAAAACGAAACTAGGGTTTCGTGTATTTACCTCTTGACGCGTGAGGTAGGAGCGAACGATACGTCGTGATTACTACGGAAACCAATCCGTAGAATCGGGGCAGCAGCGGTGCGTGGGCAGCAGCGGCGCGTGAGGTCACGGCGGCGCGTGTAGCGTACGCGCGGCTTCGGGGCGGCGCGTGGGGCAGCGTGCGGCTTCGGCTCGTGCGTTGCTCCTCGATTCTTCGATCTACAGTCTTCCTCCTCTCGGATTTCACCTCGTATACTTCGATCTACTAAATCGTGGCACTAGACACGAAGTAGTTAGAATAAAACGAAAAGAAAATAAAGGAGAAAGAATACCGAACAAAAGCCGGCCGAGGAACGGCCGTTTCCGGCGACGGAGCGGCGACGGCGGTGCGGTGGTGGCCGCGCGGAAGAGAGGGCGAGAGAGAGAGGGTGGCCGCTTAGGGTTAGGGTTTTCTTGTTTTTTTGTGCTAGGGTTATAAATCATGTATTTATAGTCCCTTGCATGAAACCCTAGCGGGCTTAAGTTGGACTGGGCCCAACAGCTTAAGCTCGTTAGTTTCTTTAATCGCTCGTATCTCTCAATTCAATGATCGAAAAATTGTAACGATTACAATTTCCGAGTCATTATAATTTTCTCGTCATTACGAGTGCCATCTCTTATTTTCCAACTTTCCAAAAGTGGAAACCCTAGTTCAGTGTGGACTTTCTAAATTTGGAAACTTCCCGATTTAGAAAGTTCACTAACATGTTCGCTTATTCTTTTCCTTTTCTTATTCTCATTCATAATTCCAAATTACGAATGTTGGACTCAATCATATTGACTTCCAATTATGCAAAGATAAACTATTTTATCTCTGACCGTTTATTCAAAGATCTCATGTGCACGAGCAGTGTGACCCTCGATGGTTCAGGTGTAAGCTAGCCGTGGGCCCACAACCCTTTGTGGTCAAAACTCGTCCCCTTCGAGTTACGATTAAGATGAAGCTCGTTTCACCTTAATCACCCAACGAATCAAGATTGGCGTCTAGCAACTACGCGTCATGATTCCCTAGATACAAATGAAGTGCCTGCAAGAACCTTCAGATATAGTTAACGTACAGTACGGTCCCTTCGATACACATGTCCCGATCGAACTAGAGGCATTGGTTCATCGAGACCTCTTTATATGTTCAATAACGGTGCGATCGTTCTAAGTGTTGTAATCCTTACGTGCATGACTTAAAGAATCGAATTCTCTAATCATCACTTAGTCAGCTCTGGCCAGAGACTTAGAATGATTACAAAATTTCAGAACACACAGGACATCCAAGACTATTCTAGCGATCGAATCCCCGACTACAATGCACAGACCTCCCACTAGATTTCGGACTGCACGAACACTGGCCCTTGGGATGGTCCTCGGTGGAACTCAGGGACAGGTCACGATACAGCTGGTCCTCTAGTGAAGTCACGGTGATGTCTAGGTCATAAGGACTAATGGTGTACAACTATACCATAGATATCTCTACTCGATTATTGGGAACCACTTAGAGATTTCTAGGGTGAGGGAGTTCAGTGAACTCGTCAACTTACGAGCACCCACTTATGCATGCCGATATCACAATACCGTTTACTGATGAGATGCAGTACACATACACTAAGTGCTAGTCTTAATGGGAAAGGCCGATATCCTCATTAGTGGCGTAACCCTTCGACTAGGAACAGGTTTAACAGTTATAATACTTAAGTAAATATCTCACGATCCTAACGATCAATTACTAGTACTTGTAATAACTGTAAGGACTATATCTATGCTTGTGACAAAGGGACAAAGATATAGAATGCCAATGTGTTTTATCATTAATACGAATAAAGGTTCGTTTATTACAATAATAAATACGAAAGACCACAGCCACATGTTGGCTTGTTGGTCACCTACTCTAACAGTTTCCTAAGGTGAGTTCTAAAACCGAGCATAGCATGATCTAACACAAATTAATTCTAAATTTAAAATACAAAACATTCAACCAAAGCAATGCACAAAGTGTGATTCCTAACAATAATTCGTTTCTAAGTTCCGTTGAATGGAAGGCTAAACAAGCATCTAATCCTTTTCACAACAAAACAAGCAATCTCATCATCAAACATTGGTCATCTCTCATCATCATAACTCATAGATGCATTCGACTCAAGCAATTATTATTTTTTTATTTAATTTTAAACAAAAAAAGCAATAAAATAAAAAATTAAAAAATCTAAAATAAAACATCTAAAAATAATATATTTGACTTTTATTATGGTATATACTGTTGCAACAAAATTGTCAAAGGTCTATAGTCTTCATTTTGTTGTTATAGTTTGCATTTTATTATTGTTATTTATATGCAAATAGCAAAAAGAAAAGACAATTAATTTGAAAATGCAAACAAAATTATAAGTTCAATCTAAATAAATATTGAGATAGGTGAGAGATACATATATATGTAAAAATAAAAAAAAAAATTAAAAGGGAGAGAGAGAGAGAGAGAGAGAGAGAGAGAGAGAGAGAGAGGGGTATTAGAAGAGATATATAGTGAAATGTCAGATTTGTTAATATTTTCCGTAACCAACTATCTCAATATAAATATTAATTAAGGGCATTTATGTCATTAGAGTAATAATTTAATTAAATATCTGTTATTTTTATTGGTCAATGGACGTATATAGCTATAATCGACTAATAAAATGGATCTCCATTCATATAAGTTCCAAATAGGGGGTCAGACCAATTATCCCTTCTAGTATATATGGTAAGTGTTAGATGGATGTTCTTATTTGTGAAAGCTAGAATAATAAATTCTTGTAGAACCGCTTTAATAAAATATAACTCTAGTTAGAAACCGAAAACGGATATACTAGTTATATTGCAAAATTAAGTACAACTACTTACTACAGAGACACGTGTCAGCATGAGATGGACCCGGTGATTATCACAAGGTGTAGGATGGAAGTCACCTTCTTCAAAGTTCAACCATAAGCATCAAATAGATGTCAAATTTTCGATATATGAATAATCATATTTTTGAATGAAATGCCACATGTCACTTAATGATGTCAATAGTAAACGAGAGCTTATTTTTTCGTTAAAAAAATTGTAGTAACTCAAGCATTAAAAACATTAACTAATCAAATAAAAAAAAATTGAAAAAAAATTAGAAAAATATACCTAAATCACCATAGCTATTCAAAACAAAATAGCTTCGATAAGGATTATACTCTACAAATTAATACAATCGGGATTTGAAAAATTCTATTAATTTAGTGAAATATTAAATCATTGAATAAATAATTTATCACGTTCTCACTAATTTGGGACTAGAATAATTTATTATTTTAGTGAGATTATTAGTTTATCGTGTATTAATTTATCGATGCTCTATTTATTGAAAGCTAGTAAACCGTTTGTCTGCACCAAAAAAGAAAAAGGAAAACAAACAAAGCGAAAAATATCGAAGAGACTGACAATAGAAATACTCTAAGGCCTCGTTTGGTTGGCAAGATAAGATTAGTCAAGATAAGATTAAATAATCTAATGAGACCCAATTATTTTATTGGAGCTTGAAAGGTGCAATAAAAAAAACTCATTAAAAGGCAAGATAAGCCATGATAAGGCAAGATAAGCCATGATTATATAATTTTGGCGGGTCGACCCGGCAAGTTATTGAGGATACCAAACATCAAATTAAGTCCAACTATTTAGTTAATCATGGCTTATCTTGGCAACCAAACGGGGCCTAAATTTTATAGATGCACAAGACAACTGAGAAAGAAAACCAAAACAAACTTGCAAATCTAATAATACTTCACCAAACTAATGTTCAAACAAAATCTTCCCAATAACTAAAATTTTGATATCTAATCAACTTCCTCAATCTTGGGGCCAGCACCACCACCGCCACCGCCACCTACAGAAGGACCATCCTCATCCATGCCACCAGCCATACCGCCGCCAGCACCACCAGCCTGATACATCTTTGCGATAATCGGGTTACAAATCCCCTCAAGCTCTTTCATCTTGTCGTCAAATTCGTCAGCCTCCGCAAGCTGATTCCCATCCAACCACTGAATAGCCGACTCAATTGCATCCTCTATCCTCTTCTTCTCATCCGCCGCCAGCTTCGAAGCAATCTTCTCATCCCTAATCGTGTTCCTCATATTGTACGCATAATTCTCCAACGCATTCTTCGACTCGACTTTCTTCTTGTGTTCTTCATCCTCAGATTTATACCTCTCAGCTTCTTGCACCATCTTCTCAATATCTTCCTTCGATAACCTCCCCTTATCGTTCGTTATCGTAATCTTGTTCTTCTGACCGGTCGTCTTGTCTTCAGCCGACACGTTCAAGATTCCGTTAGCATCAATGTCGAAGCAGACGGTGATTTGAGGAACACCCCTCGGTGCCGGCGGAATCCCGCTAAGCTCGAATTTTCCGAGCAAATTGTTATCCTTTGTCCTGCTTCGTTCACCCTCGTAAACCTGAATCAAAACACCCGGCTGATTGTCTGAATACGTGGAGAACACTTGTTCCTTCTTTGTAGGAATAGTCGTGTTTCTTGGGATTAAGACGGTCATTACACCTCCGGCTGTCTCCAACCCGAGGGACAGAGGCGTAACATCCAAGAGAAGAAGATCCTGCACCTTCTCGTTGCCTTCGCCACTCAAGATTGCCGCTTGCACTGCGGCTCCGTACGCAACAGCTTCGTCGGGGTTTATGCTCTTGCACAGCTCCTTACCATTGAAGAAATCCTGCAGTAGCTGTTGAACCTTCGGGATCCTTGTGGAGCCACCAACAAGGACGATTTCGTGGACGCTGCTTTTGTCGATCTTTGCGTCGCGTAAGCACTTCTCGACGGGCTCCATGCACTTTTTGAACAAGTCCATGTTGAGCTCCTCGAATCTCGCACGCGTGATTGTGGTGTAGAAATCGACACCCTCATACAAAGAATCAATCTCGATGGTGGTTTGTGCCGTCGAAGAGAGAGTCCTCTTCGCCCGTTCGCAAGCGGTCCTCAATCTCCTCAAAGCTCTAGGGTTACCGCTAATATCCTTCTTGTGCTTCCTCTTGAACTCTTGAACAAAGTGGTTCACCATCCTATTGTCAAAATCCTCTCCTCCGAGATGAGTATCACCGGCTGTGGCTTTGACTTCGAAGATTCCCTCTTCGATAGTCAAAAGCGATACATCAAAAGTGCCGCCACCAAGATCGAATATAAGCACGTTCTTCTCACCAGAACTTGTAGCCTTTTTATCGAGACCGTAAGCAATTGCAGCCGCAGTTGGTTCGTTAATGATACGCATAACGTTGAGACCGGCAATAACTCCGGCATCCTTTGTGGCCTGACGCTGCGAGTCGTTGAAGTACGCCGGTACAGTAACAACGGCGTTCTTGATTGTGGAACCGAGGTACGCTTCTGCTATCTCTTTCATCTTGATGAGTACCATTGAAGAGATCTCTTCGGCGGAGAATTGCTTATCTTCGCCTTTGTGTGAAACTACAATCATTGGCTTCTCGGCAGGGCCGGGAATCACCTTGAACGGCCAATGTTTCATGTCACTCTGGACGGATGGATCGGAGAATCTTCTACCAATTAACCTCTTCGCATCTGCATCACAAAAGCACACACAATTTAGAAATAAGTTTAACTTATTTCTAAATTACACATCCAATATTGAAGAAGCAAACATATTTTGAGTTAAACACTATAATAGAACCTAATTATTTGTTGTACAATTCGAAAACACAGTCATTCGAGAATCATGCAGCAAAATGTGGAATATTTTATACTTTTTTAAAATAGGAAAATTAGATACCCACAGAAATCTCGGAGTTAAAATTCAACACCAATATCATATCATACAATGCAAGAACAGAGAACCCTCACTCAAATTGAAAAAAAACATACAAATTCTAAACAAGATACAGTTAAAATCTATAAATTAATAGAGTAGGAACTAACAAGATTCTATTAATTTAGCGAAGTATTAAACTATCCAAACTAATAATTTAATATTTTTTTTTTACAGAAAAGTTATTATTTAAGCAATTTATCGAGTATTAATTTATCAATGTTGTAGTGTACATTCAATATACAACTACAAGCGCCAAATAATCAAGAAGAAGAAGGATAGAGTCAAACAAAACACAAAAATAAAAACACATAACATAAAAACTCACCAAAGACAGTGTTGGTGGGGTTCATTGCGACCTGGTTCTTAGCGGCGTCGCCGATGAGGCGCTCGGTGTCGGTGAAAGCCACGTAAGACGGCGTCGTACGGTTGCCCTGATCATTGGCTATAATCTCAACGCGGTCGTGCTGCCAAACACCCACGCATGAATATGTTGTTCCCAAATCGATCCCGATCGCCGGTCCTTCACCCTTTCCCGCCATTTACAACAATCGCACCAAAAACAATTACGCGCAAAATTTAATACGAAAGCAAAGGCACACTAATTCAATTTCGAATGCTTATACTTTTTTTTTTTTCTGTGTATTGAATAATAGAATTGAGAACAAAGGGGTTTAAATAGTTGCGGGAATTGGGTTTGTTCTAGAGTATTCCGCTTTCTACTTGAATTTTTTGAGTTTCGCGTCTCTAGTTTCTTCCAGAGGATTCTTTTCCTTTCTAGGACCTACGAGTTCCCGTATTACAATATTCGCCTATTCTCTTTCGTGTTATTTACATTTGAGTCCCTCATGTTTTCGAATGTCTACAGTTAGTTTCGAGTATGTACATAAATTAATACAATTGGGACCATCAAAATCCCATTAATTTAGCGATATATTAATTTATCGGTAATTAATAATTATTAATTTATACATTAATTATAACTTATTAATTTATGAAATTATTTTTATTAATATTTTTAATAAATACAATTTTTTTTTTACTTTTTTTACGTGTATATTATTCACTATACTATTAGTTCAATGCACTATAAAACTCGTTTCACGAACGGAAGTTCCTAAAGAAGCAATGATATAGAACAATTTTTCGTTGAGTTTTGAGAAAACTATATCGAATGTTCTAACCAAGTTAAGAAAAGTGAGGGACGGGATTGATGATAATGTTAACTTCAACAAGAAACAAGCGACAAGTAAATTATATTGTATTAAGGCTTCATAGATCTGTAAAATATGTACTATACCATGTAATTTCAGAATTATTTTTATGCATTATTAATTTATATATTATATGGGGCTTCTTAAAATTTTTGAATCTGTATTTCCCAAAGGACTACAATTTTCGTGTTCGAATTTTGCTAAAATCAAAATAGAAATATGTCAAAATCAGATTCGAAGTCAAAACAACATTAGTAAAATTGAAACGACATTTAACATTTCAGTTAATTAAATATAAAACACAAAAAGGGAAATATAAAATGAAGTATAAATAAAAAAAATTGAAAAATTTAATATAAATATAAATTTAAATTATTACCGTAAATAAATTAATTTATAACTCTTGAATATAAGTTTAATGATGAATAAATTTATTAAAATACCCTTATAAAATATGATAATATTATAATTAATCACAAATAATTAAAATGAAAAATGACAAAATACCCGGTCGAACCCGGTTCAATTGTGACCCAGTTGACTAGCCAGTTCTATGTCCGGTTCGGTTTTTAAAACATTGAAATAGAGACATTAATTTCCACAGCCTTTCAAGAAGCAATCTTCTCTCTTATTCGTGTGATCAATTTCCTTCGTATACAGATAGTTGTTTTGTTCTAGCAAAGTTATTATATTTAATTATATATCACGAGCTATTTACTTTAAATAATGATTAGTTTAATATATGACAATAACAATCTTTATATATAAAAGAAGGGGTTTTTGTGTATAGATCTCTAACCAAGCATCTTTATTATTTTAGGTTTATTGGCTATATCTCTTTCATCAATAAGCCCATCCCTTTAATATTTATTATAAATAAAGGAAACATTCATGTATATGGCAAAATTACCCCCAATCCTTTATACTAAATTCTTAATTGTAACCTCAATTTTGACCATAAAAATTCAATTTTGATTTTTTTTTTCAAAATTCTTTTTTTTCCGCCGGATTCCGGCGTTGACCTTTTTTTTTTTACGTCCGCCGCTAAACGTTGACCGTAATTGTGCTGTCAATAACAGTAAATTAACGTAATTATACTGTCAATGACAGTACATTAACGTAATTGTATTGCCCTTGACAATGCATTTATGTAATTGTTCTGCTGTTGACAGTAAATTAACGTAATATTATTATTTTTGTTATTTTTTTTTTTTTTTTATTTTGTTGACAAATCAACGTAATTATATTATTGTCGTTGACAGTAAAATAACTAAAAACACAATAATATTAATGTCAACCACATCAATATTATTATTTTTTGGGTTTTTGTTTTGTTTGAGTTATTCACGGAATAACGTAATAATATTATTGTCTATTATTGTAATATTATTGTAAACACAATAATATTACTGTGGTTGACGACAATATTACTGTTGTTATAGTAATATTGCTGTCAACCACATCAATATTATTATTTTGTTTGGGTTTTTTTGTTTGTTCGAGTTATTCACGGAGTAATGTGATAATATTACTGTCTATTATTGTAATATTACTGTAGTTGACGGTAATATTACTGTTGTTATAGTAATATTATTGTCACTCACGGTAATATTAATTCTTTGGGCTTTTTATTACGTTTACATTTGTTGAATGGTCAACATAGTAATATTACTTAATCACACAATAATAATGAGTTTTGTTGTGTTAATATTACTGTGCTAGAGATTAATATAGCAATATTACTGTGTTCAACTGTAGTATAGTTAATTTTATTGTTTTTAAGAATAATGTAGTTAATATTACTGCCAATCACACAACAATATTACTGTTTAAATAAAAAAAGAAAAAAAAAGATGTTACAGAAAGAAAGGAAAAAAAATCGGAAAAGTCAACGACGGAAACCGGCGAAAAAATCCGGAAGAAAGATTAAAAAAAAAAAAAAAAAAGTCAACGCCGGAGACCGGCGGGTTACGGCGGTGACAGACGAAATCGTCCATAAAAATGTGTTTTAGATCAAAATTGAATAATATGTGAAATTTGGGGTCAAATTGAGGTTAAATTAAATTAAATGATGAAATTGGAGCATATTAAAGTATGATGGGCTATTTTAGTCTTTTACAAAAATCTGAACCTTGTGTGGACTTATTTATAAAAGAGTTTATTATCTGGATCTTTTTATAAATAAGTACCTATTGATGGGCTTATTTGTAAATACCCTTTATAAAAGTTTAGTTGGGACTTACCTACTTTGTCTTGAGAATTTGGTTTGTTTTTGTCTTACACACCGTGAAGGCATGAACTTCGTCATAGAGGCTATTATAATAATAAAATATAAATAAAATTAAAAAATATGAATGAGCTGAAATTTTTATTTTTTATTTTTAAGGATTGTGTTGTAACTTGTAAGAGATGTTGTATGCCTAGGGGTGGAAATCGGAACAGAATTTCCGGTTTCCGCCGAATACGATCCGAATATTTCCGATTTTGTAACGATTTTTTTTAGTCCGATTTCCAAAATTTTGATTTTCAAATTTCCGAAAAAAATCAGATTGGAATCGGAATTTGATATAATATTTCGGAATTTCCGAATTCCAATCCAAAATAATTTGGAATATTTTTTTTTTAATATGCGCCCGTGCAACGCACGAGGCAAAATACTAGTTATAATAAAATTTAGGATTAAATACAAAAACAGCTTTGTGCTATGGACTCTGTATCATATACCCCTTGTACTACACATAAATACAAAAACCCCCCTCACATTACATTTTTTTCCAAAATATGACGAAAATACCCCTACTCAATATATATATATATATATATATATATATATATATATATATATATATATATATATATATATATTGAGCCATTTTCCACTATATATTTTACCATTTTCAGTCAATTTTACGTGGGAAATTTTGGTATTTGTATTTTTTTCTCTAAAACATCTAATTGCTTAGATTTTTTTAATTTTCTGAATAAAACCATTTATTTTTGTTACTTTGAGTTTCTTCATTTTTTTTTTCTTAAATGTCTTCCGGTAGTTCAAACATCCTAAGATTACAAACATCTTTACAATCCTATGATTGTTGAGAATTTGAACTACCGGAAGACATTTAAGAAAAAAAATGAAGAAATTCAAAATGACAAAAATAATAGGTTTTATTCAGAAAATTAAAAAAATCTAAGTAATTAAATATTTTGAATAAAAAAATTAAAAAATCAAAATTTTCCAAGTAAAGTACACCGAAAATGTTAAAAAATATACTGGAAAATGGCTCAAACAAACCCTTATATTAGGGCATCTCCAACCTTAAAAGCTAAAAATAGACATGTTATAATTTTTTTAGCATTTGAACAGGGGTTTAACATGCCATTTTTTACCACCACCTCCAACCACATCATTTATAATTTACCATTTTATTATATTGTTATTTGAATATAATATATATATTTATACATGGCTTTTATTCTCACAACTTTATGGGAAGTTGTGGCATGTTTAGTATTATTATAATATATTTTCAAATACCTTTTGGTGAACAGAGAATGGTATATATACCAGTTGAACCTTCAATTTTTGCAGGCCATGTAAATTATACCACTCCCGTTGGAGCAAGTTTTTTTGTTCAAAAATGGTAAAAATGTTAAAATATAAGTTTTGGCTTCCCAAAACCAAGAAGGTTGGAGATGCCCTTATAGGCTTAGCAGGGGTATTTTCGTCATATTTTGGAAAAAAAAATGACAGTAGGGTGGACTTTTTATTTATGAGTAGTACAGGGGGTATATAATACAAAGTCCATAGTATAGGGGTGTTTTAGTATTTAACCCTAAAATTTATTAGTCATATCGGTAACAACATTAGTATTTATACAAATTTAATGATACAAACTCATTTCGAAAATATATATATATTATATATATATATATATATATATATATATATATATAAACTTAATTGTCATAATATGAAATTGATGATTAAATAAATTATTTAATGAAGCCTACAATTTCTTTATCTAATGGGTCACGAATCCAATATTTAAGACCACTATCACCGAGGCCCAATCACCTTCAAGTAAGGTTTGGGCCCGACAATCTCAACTAAGCTATAAATAAATGTTTGAACTCATTCCTTAAGGTACGTCCTATTATCTGAGTAATACTATAATATGTATTCTCTGGACTATTTCCACTATTCGCACGTCTGACTTGAGTGTCGGAGGGTTTCTGCCGGATCAACCACCGGCTTAGTTTATGTGTTCTATGATCGCAGGTATCTCAAGGTCATCAAGCTCGTGAGCCAGTGATCCACTCTGCACTTCCTGCTCATCCTACTTCAATTCTCTAAGGTGATCTATCTCTAGTATCATCATTTTGGCGCTATCTGTAGGAAGGCAAACAAGATCACCTTTCTTTTTTTTTGGGCGTTTTTTCTCTTTGGTTTTGAACACAGACTATGCCAAATAATAATAGTATTTTTGTGGCATTTGCTAGAAGGAAAAAAAAAAGTAATTGTATAACTGCATAGCGATGTTTTTTAATTATCAAATTAGCAGCCTCGTTAATTTTACTGAAATGTTAAATGTCGTTTCAATTTTACTAATGTCGTTTTGACTTCGAACCTAATTTTGACATATTTCTATTTTGATTTTGGCAAAATTCGAAACACGAAAACTGTAGTCCTTTGGGTTAGCTTTCTAATCTAACTTAAATCCGCTAGATTGGATGTCGTGTGACAAAGTTATGCATGAATGAGTCACATTTTGAATTTTAGATACCTCAATACATCAAAGTTGTGGACAGTATCCATTGATTCATGTATATCTTTCTCGTCCGACATCCAATTTTGGTGATTCAAGTTGGATTAGAAAACTAACTCAAAATACTACAAATTCTATTTTTCGGGTTTCGCAAAATTTGGAATTAAAAATGATCAAAATCACGTTTGAAGTCGAAACGGTATTATTAAAGCTCGAACGACATTTATCACATCATATCCCTTAATTTTATATGCATCTTAGAATGCTCTTATTAGCAACAAAAACATCGAATGCATATAGAACTATAAAATGATTATGCACATACAATATACATAATATGTAATGATTCTGCATGTATATGGAACTATATAATGTTTTTATTATGTAATAAAATATCTTTAGTTATGCAATTTTTTTTTGGGTTTTTTGCAAAAACCACCCCTGCGTTATTTTTAATTGCCGGAAAACCACCTGTGATAAAATTATTGGCAAATACCCCCCTATGAAATTCAGTCAAGGTCACAAAACCCCCTGACATCGTTTCGTGTAGCGCACGCAAAAATTATGCGAATGGTTGTGTATTTTGCGTCAAAAATTACCCTTAAAAGTAAAAAAATACCCTTAAATTCATCAAAGAACCGAACGACGTCGTTTTATATCCTCTTCCCCATATATTGGTTTTTCTCTTCTTCTTCCCCCAATTTCTTCTATTCATATTCTGCAATTCCCAGCAAATTAGAGAAATAATGTCTTCTCACACCTCGAGCAACGCGACGAATAGAAAAGAATGCAAGCCATATATGGATCTGAGGTATACATTTAACCCATTTTGTTTCTGCATTTTGAAATCTTGTATAAGGGTGGCCGAAACTGCAACAAAACCATCAAAAGGAAGATTATATTATTCTTGTCAGTTTTGTCAATGCCAATTTTTCCGTTGGTGTGACCCGTATTGAGCAACTTGGGAACCTATTGGGGTGGCTGTACAATATCCAGGTTGGGAATATGCTGAGCAAGATTTGCCAGATGATATCGAAGAGCTAGATGAAGTTATTTCTAAAGCTAGCGTGGAAGAGAAAAAAGAAAACCATCGGCATAATCGAATCTTGTTAAAAATCTCATGGGTTATATATGTAGCATTGTTCGCCATTGTTCTGGTGTTTTTAATGAAGATTTGAATCCTTTAATCAATTTCATATGTTTTATTCAATGCAAGATATAATGTAGTGTTGTTGTTTACCAATGTAATATTGAAAATGTTATTTATTCAAGTATTATTGAGAGTTTGAGATGTTAGTTGTTCATTATTTGTTCAACTTTGCAATGGTAAAATTCTGTAAAATTCTGTAAAATTTTCTAATTTCCCAGTATTTGGTTACCAAATTAGCAAATAACCCCACATATAAACAAATATCAGCAACCACCCGCCTATGATTTGAACTTAATTAGCAAATACCCCCGTATGTTAAAGAAAATTGGCAAGCATCTCCATTGTATTTTCAATTTCCCTGTATTTGCCAGCAACAACCAATTTATATATCAACAATAACCAACAAGCAACATCTAAAAATAAACAATAACATAAAATTCAACTGCAAATAACCAATCCATAAAAAAAACATCAAAATATCTCAAACAAACAACAATATTTTTCAGAAACAACCAACAAAAAAAAAATGTTCAATAGACATTACAGGCTGTTACAATTGCATGTTCAATAAACAGCCAACATTTCATCAAGAAACCATCACAAGTTGTTACAATTGCATCAAAAACCCAAAAAAACCAGCAAAAGTCATCAAAAAACATGTTCAACTTTCAACACATATAAGTCAAACTTTCCAAATGCGCTTATTCTTGGCAGCCTCCCTAATGTTATGAAGGACTTCGGATATTTGAGGCTTCCTTTTGCGCACAGGAGGGTTGCTGGAATTTGGAACATTTGGAGGAACATTAGTTGTTGCCATTGGAGGAACAATTGCTTGTGAAGTTGGAGGAACCGTTGGTACAACAGCAGGCACTTTTTGTGATTGATTTGTTGCCCGTCGTTTTTTGATTTTCTTACTTCTTCCTAGTAAACCCTCATTTCTTCTTCCCACATATACCTACAAGTGTAACCTATGAATTAGAAAAATAAATGGGGCAGAAAGAGCAGAAAGATAAAACAATTTTGAATGTTTCTAACCCTTCCTGGTGCAGCAGCAGGTGAAACAAAGCTAGATTGATCTTGAATGGAAGAAGGTACAGCATAGCTTGGTTGAGTAGAAGATGGTGCAATAGAGCTGGAAACATTTGACCTTGGTTTATAAGAGTTTGTTTGAACATATGTTGGTGCAACAGAGGTTGATGGTCCGTGACTGGAAGATGGAGGAGTACCTTGAGAATTTTGAACTTCCTTAGTTGCAGGGTTTCCCTATCATAGACAAATAAACCAACAAATAACTTATAATAATGCTTGAAATCCTTTAAAAGAATTCAATTAATTAAAAGAAAAAAAAATATTAAAGCTACAAGTACCTTGTAAAGTTTAGACCTTGGATTTGTAGGATTTTTACACGATGCCTTATTATGGCCTAGTTGTAGGCAGTTATTACAAGTATGTGTGAGACCCTTTCTGTAAGAAGTGATGTGAAGTTCATCTGGACCTCTTCTTCTCATTTTCTTAGGTCTCCCACCTTTCTTGTTCAACTTTGGGGCTGCAAGTAGCTCGAAAGAGGTCTTGATGTAGTCTTTTGGTCCAGGGACTGCATGTATCATATATGCACAACCCTTCAAGTATGTATTTTTTTATACCACGAGTCCACATAGTCCTCAACTCTATACATCCTATCTGCAATGCAAGCCTATGCATGATGACAATGATACCCTTTTAATTGAAACAGTCCACATGTGCATGTTCTGGTAGCTAGGTCCACGACATATCTGTTATTATGAATATCCACTTTAAATTCTTCTTGTCCATGCCATCTTGGAAAACCATTTCTTGCAAGTTGTTGAGACTTGTTGATCTTCTTCAAGATATTAGGACAGATAGACCCTTCATACTTCTCCATTCCAACCTTTTTTGTTTGAATTATGCTTAACAATCTACTTCTGATCCACTCAAACATGCTAATGATAGGCTTCTCTCTAGCCTCAAGGATGTAGCTATTGAAGGATTCACACATATTGTTTACTAACACATCTGTCTTGCAGCTTCTTGAGAAATAAGATCTGGCCCAATGACATGGAGAAATTTTTCTTAGATATTCTGCTGCAGCTTTATCAAACCTACCAATCTCCACCATAACTGCTTCAAACTCATTCTTGTTGCTTGTGGAAGCAGCTCTCCATAACATTGTTTTCAGCTCCAAAGCTGGCCATTTTTGCTTGAAGTTCTGGTAGATGTGCCTCACACAAAACCTGTGATCACAACTAGGGGCAACATCTTTAATAGGTTCAAGAAGACTTTTTTGCCTGTAAAAAATGAAGGTCCATTTCCTTTCTTCAACACCTCCAATTTCTTCTAGCAACTCACTTAAAAACCACGTCCAAGATTCTCTATTCTCAACTGGAACCACAGAAAGGGAAATTGGAAAAAGTTTATCATTCCCATCCCTTCCAACAACACAACGGAGTTGCCCTCCATGTGGTGTTTTCAAAAAACAGCCATCATGGGGGAAGGCTGAAATACATCCTCTCAAAGATTAGAGGATCTGAATAAAGAATCTTTCTCAGCAATAACTTAGCACCAGGATTTCTAGCTCTTTCACAGTAGTCCCACATGAGACTGTATTCTTGAGCATCCTGTCCCCTTATTTTGTTGAGTGCATCTTTTTTTGCCCTCAAAGTCTTCCAATAGCCAGCTTCTACACCCACATTTCTCATCACTGAGTTTCCAAGTTTACTTATTTCAACATCTGGATTGTCTTTAATGGAGTCTCCCATTCTCCTTCCAATATATTTTGCACTAGCATGCTTGTTAATTCTTTTCCTTGAACATGTGTGTTCTCCAGTTAGTTTCTTGATCTGCAATAAATAAATTAAAAAAATACTTAGTTAAAAAATAATACATAATAGATAAGTACATAAATATTACAAGGACAAAAAAAAAACAGAAACCAAGAAACCATAATATAAAATAGAATAGCACAAAAAAAATATAATATTTAAATACCTGAAATATTGGACCACCTTGTACAGCAGATGCATGGATTCTCCAACTACATCCTTTATCTTTGCATTCTGCAGTTACCCTTTTCCTTTCATTTTTCGAAAATTCAATTTCATACCCATTTCTCACTAACCAATCTATGAGAGCCTCTCTAAATGCATCAACATTTGAACATTTCATCAACTCTTCCAAATTTTTATTTTTCATACTCTGTCCTTCACTGAATATAGGGCATTTGGCTTAAGTTGAGTCATTCAGATTCTCAATAGTATCATCATCTTCTGCCTCACTGTACCATTGGGTTGTAGATGGTTGCACTGCATATTTCTGCAACCTTCTAGCTGGTCTTTTGGATTTCTTGCCCATTATTTTCAACTTCTTGATCAAGTCTTGCTTACTGAACTGTCTATTCAAAAAAATTTCATCATCTGAAGACCCATCAATGTCTTCTAACTCTTCACGTGGAGCATCAGAATGTACATCAACATCATCTGAACAATCTTCACGCTGAATGTAGTCACCATCATCTGAATCATCATCCTCAGAAAACACCACATCATCATTTCTCGTCTCTTCATTTCCTGGTTCTGCAGTTGGTTGTTGTTCATTTCTTGGTGCTTCAGCAAACAAATCTTCAGGTGTTGGTTCTTCAGTGGTTACGAATTCAGCAAAAATCTCTTCAAGTGTTGGTTCTTCAGACTGTACTTCTTCAGCTGTTGGTTCTTCATGATGTAGTTCTTCACTTGTTGGTTCTTCAGGTTGTACTTCTTCACTAGGTGGTTCTTCAGGCTGTACTTCTTCAGTTGTTGGTTCTTCAGGCTGTACTTCTTCAGCTGATGGTTCTTCAAGCTGAGGTTGTTCATTTGTTGGTTCTTCAAGCTGAGGTTGTTCATTTGTTGGTTCTTCAGGCTGAGGTTGTGCAGTTGTTGAGTCTTCATCAACTGTATCTTCATCACCATTCCGCAAATAAAGAATTTCTTCTTTCTTTTCAATTACATTCCCATCCTTATCAATTGCAATGATTGGCTCTATGTCTACATCTTCAGTGTAAAGTGTCAACTGGTCCAGTTCATCATGAACATTCACCAACCATGCAATACTTACATCATCTATAATGTACTTGAGCCCATGTTCAAGTGATTGCCCAGGGTACAAGAAGTAAAAGTTGACATTCACTTTTTTACCTCCACAGGCTTTGTACATATCATACACTGCCTATTCAAGTAGTCCAAGCAAATCTTTCCAGCCACTACCTTTCTCCCTCCAACATAACACAATTCAGGATTATATACGAAAACCCCATCCAACCATATAGATACTTCGCACAACAGGTTCATCTGCATAAATAATAAAGCTTTAAGTTAAAAAACTCTGCAATAGTTAAAAAAAAAAAAAAAAAAAAAAAACAAACAGAAAACTCTAAAAATCTCAACAGTAAAACAGGAAATGCAGACAATGTCTAGACAAAAATCATAAACAAAAATTTGAATAAAAAATTTAAAAAATTGAAACCCCAAAAAATTAAGACCCCACATGTTCCTTGAAGATATAGACAAGATATACCCTACATAAAACAATAATATCAAAAAATGGACCACTAATCCACAATCCCCAAAAGATCCAGACAATGTCTGGACAACAACCCACATTCTCGAAAAAAATACATAAAGTTTGGACTCCAACCTACAACTCCCCAAAAAAAACAAAAACCTCAGAAACATAAACCCTACTATTTTAATACAAATGTCTGGACTACAACCCACAACTCCCCAAAAACTTCCTACCTCTTTAATCGAACTTTCACAGTCGTCTTCACGTCTTTCTTCGAGAATCTTTAAATAGAAGGCATTTGAGAGAGTATTTCGATCGAAATTGAGTTTGGGGTTTAGGGTTTTTTTTTCTCTTCGATTTGGGATTGAATTTGGGAGAGGAGCATATAAATATTTTTTGTTTTGAGAACACGTAGCAGGGGTTTTGAGTTTTGGGATATTTTTTTATTTTTTTATATTAGGGGTAATATAGTCATTTTACTTTAGTCAACAGCCAAATGATAAATAGGTGGCGGTGTGCAATGCCAAACACAATACAGGGACTCTGTGCTAATATTTATACCATAGGGAGGTATTCGCCAATTAGAAATAACACAGGGGGTCATTGCTATTAGCTCATTTTTCTTTATCACTACATCGTTAAGTTCGGTTTAATTTCCAGTCCATATGTTTATCACTACATCGTTATCGCGAGAAACCAATTTTTCATTCTTCTCGGTGATGGATTATATCGTCAGTCCTATCTCTCATATCAATCAAGTATAATTACATTTTATCATTTCACTCTTACTTTCGGATAAGTTTCTACACATACACCATCGATTTGTTCTACAATTGAATCGTCAAACTTCATTGCTCAAAAGATTAGAAATTAAGACATAACCACTCAACTTAGAAAATCTAATTGTTTGATTAATTTTGTATTTAAACTTAATTAACTCAAGTTTCATATGAGACCCATCTATCTATTTTCGGTACAATAAATGATGCTTCTTCCACACTAAGACCTTCACCATCCATGCTATACTATTCTTTCCTATAACTATACACTAAACATGAGGTGATGCTGATTTGAGCTTGCTTAACATCAGCTACATATTATAATATAAATAAGGGGTTTTTGTGCATAAGTCTCCAACCAAACATCTTTATTATTCTAGGTTTAGGGGCTATATCTCTTTCATCAATAAGCACATCACTTTAATATTTATTATAAATAAAGGAAATATTCATGTACATGTCAATATTACCCCCAACCTTTTGTACTCAATTCTTAATTGTAACCCCGATTTAATCAATTTTGTCCACAAAATCCAATTTTGACCACAAAAATCCAATCTTGACTGTTTTTTTTTCAAAAAAAAAAATTTTGCCGTCGAATTCCGGCGTTGACTTTTTATTTTTTTATTTTATTTTTTATTTTATTTTCTTCCGGATTTTTTTGCCGGTTTCCGGCGTTGACCGGCGGTCTCCGGCGTTGACTTATTTTAGTGTTTTTTAAGTTTTTTTTTCTTTTTTCTTTTTTTTTTTGTTTTGTCTGTTTTTTTTTTACGTCCACCGCTAAACGTTGACCGTAATTGTGCTGTCACTGACATTAAATTAGCGTAACTATACTGTCAATGACAGTTAATTAACGTAATTGTACTGCCGTTGACAGTAAATTAACGTAATATTATTATTTTTAAATTTTTTTTAATTTTTTTTATTTTGTTTGATTTGTTGACAAGTCAACGTAATTATATTACTGTCGTTGACAGTAAAATAACTGAAAACACAATAATATTACTGTCAACAACATCAATATTATTATTTTTTGGGTTTTTTGTTTTGTTTGAGTTATTCACGGAGTAACGTAATAATATTACTTTCCATTATTGTAATATTACTGTAAACACAATAATAGTACTGTGTTGACGGTAATATTACTGTTGTTGTAGTAATATAGCTGTCAACACATCAATATTATTAATTTTGTTTGAGTTTTTGTTTAGTTTGACTTATTCATGGGAGTAACTGATAATATTACTG